AATTTAGAACCTCCTCCATTTTTTAAATAAAATAATTTATCATTATAAAGCCTTACCTGACCGCAGATTTGGGTATAGATCCATACAAGAGCACACTGAGACCTCTGTAAAGACCGAAGAATCCGTGTCCCTGGACAGTTTTTTTCACGCAGTCCACTATGCCAGAGTACTTTTTAGTACCACCTGAAAGTCAAAAGGAATTTTCACTAAAAGTTACGGTAACGTAAAAATAGAATCATATTTGTTTGTATAACCATCTACGATACGTTACGATCAGCGGGAATTATAGTTTCTTATAGGATTATCATGAAGCTCGATCACGATACAGCACAAGAATATAACAAGCATAACATGTACTTTGAAATTAACATTCGTGGTATATTTATGAAAAAATATTATAATAATTATTTTAATGAACATTACGTCTTATTACCAAGATATTAACTTATTTTTTTGTGAAATTATTTCACCATATCGAGTTCTTAGGTTTTCGCGATTGTTACACATAGGAATGAAACTATTTTTCCGGATTTAAATCGCTTTTGATTTACTATTATTATTATATATATTTATTATTATTATATATATTATATTATATATATTTATATATTTACTATTATTTAGTATTACTAACTTAAAATTGAAACGTCGGTTTGTTTGAAAAAACAAATATACGCGATTTAAATCCGGAAAAATAGTTTCATTCTTATTTCACCATTTTCAAATTCGATGTAGAATAATAGACAACAAACAAAAACATATGACTTTTAGGGGTTTCACTTCAAGACTGTTTTACAGTTACCACAATTTCAATATTTTTCCCCGAAAATCGATTAGGCTATTGAATTATTGATAATACTAATCTTGAGTCATGTCTGTGTTAAATTTTATTCAATAGAAGTTTCAAATCAGTAGTAAGGGATTTGGAACCAACATAAAAATCACCAGAAAATGATTATTTGTACAACTGTGTCATCCCTAATTATTTTTTCATTTGAAAGGTGGGATTGTAAACATTCGAGTTCGAATAGTAATTTAAGTTCAGAATCGGAAATTAATTCTGGGTATGTCGTAAATTAACATAAAATAAAATTTTACAATTTTGTTTCTTTTCATCTACCTTTATCTGCTATCTTGCAATAAGTGTAAATAGGATCACAAACTGAATAATTGTTTTCGTAAATTTTATAATAAACATTGGCCAGATAAATGTTAATTACCTATTTTAAGTCTCAAAATTACTTAAGGCTCAATTTATGTTGCGACGGAACAGAGTCAAAGCGAATACTGCCGGTCACTAACTAAAATACGGTTAAGTGACAAATGGTCAAATAACCGTTTTAAATAGCAAAAAATAGAGCACAAAATTATCTTTTAAAAACAGTTAAAATTAGTGAACGTGTTTGACTTATAAACTTATCCTAACGATGCATAGCTGAAATATCATTAAATAATATCAATATTCTAAAACTGGGTTACGGTTTTTTATGAAATCTCAAAAATAAGTTTTGTCACTTAGCTTTAGTTAGCGGACGGCAGAACTAGATACGAGCCTAAATCTTCCGCGGAATTCTCGCGCATACCGCGGAAGATTTTGGCTCGTTTCTAGTTTGTATATTACACAATTGATCATAAAGTTCATTATGCTATGTTACAAAAATTCGCTTCTACTACGTTTCCCCGCAAAATAAATTGAGCTTATATAATAACCATTTTAAAAAAATGTTCTTTTTTTTTAAAATGTTTAAAACTTTTTGTTTGCCTAGCAACGATAAACTTTTTATGTCGAATTTGGCTAGAGTACTGTTTCTTAAAATTAGTAATAAAAACATCGAACACAAAGAAAAATCTATTTTTTCCCCTAAACTACCACTACAGTCAGTCATGACAATGGGACATGTAAACGTTTATTCGACATCAGCGTATAGCCGCATCGCACTAACTGCTCTAACTGCCATGGCAAAATACGCTCTATTCATTTAGCTTTTACGTTTTAATATAAATGAGCGTCCAGGGCGCGCGGTGAGTCTGGCTTGTCTTTGGTCTATGCGGCGTCCGCGCAGTTCTATTATTCCGAGGAATTTCAATGTTGTTGCCTAGTAAATAGCATTCAAATTCGCCCTTAATGTACGTGAAAGTGTGGCATGCAGCCGCGCTAAAACTTTTCTAAAAGTTTTCTAAAGGCCCCGAAACTTTAGTTTGTTTCAAAAAGAAAACAAATATACGCGATTAAAAGTGGTTTACGTGTCGTGGACGCGAGGAACTCCAAACCCATCTTCGGTGGAAATGGTCTGGATTGACGAGGCGAGAATGGAAATATTTGTTGATGTAATATTGAACCGTAGCGGTACGCACGGTCTCGCGCGAGCTCGCGATGGCTACCAGTCGCGATTTTGTGGGGTACGTACGATTTGGAATTTATTAAAAGATGGTTTCATCTGATTCTTCTTCCGTTAACATATTTTAATAATTATAATTTATGGGACATGTTACTTCAGCCGCGTATTTATCGCTAGATGAACTGAAGAGCACTGAATTTTGACTATCCGCAATCACAGCACGAGCTATCGATGGCAATTTTTGGCGGAATTTCGCGAGATTCCAATTCTCTTCACGTCTCGTCTCGCCTCCCTGGTGGAAAACCACCTTTAGATCCGAAAAAATAGTTTCATTTCCCAATTATATTATTAGTTGTATGGACTAGGGTTTCGCTCGAGATTTCTCGACTCGAGAACTCCGAGACGAGAAAAATATCCTCGAGAATTCGAGAAATCAAATTAAGTTTTTAAATTACTGAAAAATTTACTTTATAATTATAAATATTGTGTGTGTCAAATGTGACTGTTTTGTTTTGTTAAGTAGATTGTAATGGCTAAATGTTGACTATTTATAAATTTTCCAAAGATTATGTAATTAAAAGACTGAAGTTGATTTAATAAAAAAATGATTTTGATCACCTCGATAAGCTTGATGTGTGAGTATTATATAATCACACTTTAGATGTTTTTATTTTTGTTGATCGTTTTGTATTTTTTTTCATAAGATGCGTCTTTATTTGTAATATTGATTTGTTTGTAATGTGATTTGTTTTATTTTGTTCAGTTGATTGTACCTAATAGCTAAATGTTGATTATTTATAAATGTTCCCAAGAATTATGTGGTTACAACAGGTTGATTTAATAATAACAACGAAGATTTCATAAATAAATAAAATATGTAGATTTTATTATAAAGTGAGTTTGTTTTTGTTTGTCTTTATAGTTGACTAAGCTGATTTTTAAGGTTTAAAAAAAAACTCGAACAACTTGAGAAAACATGTGAACACGGGCAGAAATATGTCGAGAAATCAGAAACCCTGGTATAACCCAACCAATGCAGTGGCCTAACGTCATCATGTTTAATGAGACTTGTGACAACAGTAAGACGTTAAAGGGTTTACCCGTATAGGTTTTTTCTATCGAGATTACTTTAAAATGGACTCTGTTTCTCTATAATAAGAGTCATAAACATTTAAATGTAGTAACAGGGCCATGATTGCGTTTTGTAGGTCAAGTTGGTTTACTCTGAACATAATCTAAGGTTAATAGCCTAGGGATTTTGTCTTACCTTTATTATGATGTTTTTGGTTGAATTTTATTTAAAAGTCGAAAGTTGGATCTTTCGAGGTAACGTACATTCGCATGAACGTTAATCCACGGTTTTGTTTATCGTGTTAACATTGCTGTAATTTTTACATTTGTTACCTTCAATAATAAAGTGACAAAAGTTGCATTTTTTGGGAAATACTTTTTAATTAGTTTATTGTGTCTTAGGCTTGCAGAACCGGTCCGAATTATACAATTTTGATTCCCGGTGCTAGACTCAGCTCAGTACCGGTACCCCCGGCATTCCCGGTGCTTCTTGAGCCAAAAGGTTAAACTGTAACTAGTAAACAGCATGCTTTTTCCGGGTTATCCGTACCTATTCAATAATTTATGTAATAATAATACCATAAATAAGAAAGAAAAGCTTCTTTCTCTTATCAAACTAAAGGTTTTTATTAAAAATATTCATTTTGAGAGATAATAAGTGTAAGTAGCATTATAATGGCAGTAACGTGCGCCCGTGCGAAATTGCCAATGGGCGATATTACTCATAGCTAGGTAGGTAAGTAGTCCCTTGCTATACCGGGAGTACCGGGAATCTAGTATAATAGCGATATCGGAACTGATTGCACCCCGCCAGTACCGGGATTTCTCGGTATTTTCAGAACCGGGAATGTCCCATTGCTGAGAAAAGACCTCTCCGCTCGACTTACACAGCTCCCTGTTTGACTTAATGTTAGGCCAGTCTTTTTATACGTATATGCGTTCAAGTCATCATGCCATTTTATCGGATGACAGACGTGTCTAGCCCATTTCAGCTTGGCAGTTTTTACCTCATATGCTGCGCTCCAGCTATCTTTGGTAAACCTTGATCTCTACGCACCATACCTACGTAAGAATGGGGAGGATACTCATGTCGATGAGTTTTCGCTTAAGTGAAACTGACAAAATACGAAATAAAAGTATTAGATTAGAAATTTTGTTTGTGCTGTCTTTTGTTTTAAACTCTCAAGTAAGGACCCTCGTGGACCAACTTATTAACACCGGTTAATGTCACAATAGAGCTCAGTGTGCTTTTTTTTTTTGGGTTTTCTTTCTTTCGACCGTGACATTGGCAATATAATTTCTCACAATAATGGAGCGACATAAACAAAAAGTGAAATGAAGTAGATTAGACTTTATAATTATAATATAATGTTTTCACATCAAATGCAAGTTTGTCTTAGTCAAATGGCATAATATATGGCTGATACTGCGTATCTATAAAAAATACGTTATTTTTTTCTTAAATCTAATTTGTAAGTTTCCCAAAAAGTATTTTTCGAATTTAGTCACTTATTATTTGAGGGTGCGATTTAAAGTCGAGTTTTTTGTTTACTTATTTACGTTTTATCATCTAAATTGTTGAAGTTGGGTTCTTCGCACGTTATCATAAAGTTCTATTTACTTTACATTAGCAGTTTCTCTTTGAGAAAGAGTTCGTCCAGGCAAGTCCTGCCACCTTACCTATTTCTGCTGCCAAGCAATAATGTCAGCATTAGTGTGTTACGGTTTTGAAGAGGCACATGGGACTTGTCAACTTGTGTCTCCCTGATCGTGCCCCTCAGATCTTTGTAATTTAAAGCTCTGACTGGTACTGCAATTGTTATGGACAGGCATGTAGCTTACCATCAAGCGCACGACTTGTTCGTCCCGCCACTTGATGTTATATATATAAAAAAGATTTTTTTGTCATGGTTCAAAACACGTGTTAATAAAATTAGTAGCCATATTGAAGCAGCGTGATGATATTATGTAGAGACACGTGCCGATCGACAATGATGTTTTTTAAAGTATATCCCACAAGACCCTGTAAGAATTATAAAACAATTTCCAATGCCTTCAAACACGCAAAAGCGATTTGCACGCTAGAAATTTTTTTTCTAAAAAAAAAAAAAAAAATTTAATTAAAATTTTTGAATTATTTGAAAAAAAAAGGTTATTGAAATGCGAACTTGACGATTGACTTGGTGCACTTAATTTTTTCTTTCTATAAAAAAAATCATTATGTAATATAAAACCGTTGGTAAATTTTATTCTTATTATTGTTGACATTAAATTGACAACGATAACTAAATTTGTTTAAACTTTTATTTACCCTTTTCCTCGCTATAATGAGGTCAGAGAACAAATAAGTAATGAGAACGGACACTCTCCGCCCCTCCCTAGCTTTAAATACCGCACCACGCCCCGCACATTGACGGTCATGTTGACTGAACGAGTACAAGGCTGTCGGCGAGCCGTTTTCGCGCTAAGACGGCTTTGGTGTTGGAATATAGTTGTCATTTATTCATTACGAAATTTGTTTGTATGTTTGAAAAGATTTTCATCTTTCAAAAAACGAAGTAAATAAAAAATGTCTGAGACTCATTCAGTTATTGTTTTCTTTAGTGCAGATATATATAATACAGATTTATTAGTTCTAGGATTTTAAATTTTGTATTGCCGATAAATATTACGTAGTAAATATACCTAATTATTAACTAGGTAATGATAAAGTTGTCCAAAATAATATATTTTTAAAATAAATCTTCAATATTATTCTAATTAGTGAATTAATATAAAATATAATATTATATCGATATAAATACGTAAGGAACATGTATAATTATTAGGATTCTATAATAGAATTATCGATAATGAGATCGCGTTAGAATTTTCGCTATGTTGCCGCTTTGACCACGTAACATAATAAGTACGAGCAAGTGATGGGTAACCCTGCCACTTCACGCACACATTCGCGCGTGTGCAGATAGCGCCTTGCTATATGCAGTAGTAGTAGGTAAATAATTTTCGATCGTTGTATGGAGTGTCCGGAGTGTGGTGAGCTGTAAAGTTGTGGGTTTCGCTCGGCAGCAAAGTTGTGTTACGTTTCGTGGCTTGAAACCCTCGCTACGCTCGGTATTCTATTTTTGAAATCATTATTTTTCAATCTTAGGGTCGTATTTCAGAACTCTACTCAATGCTCATGTCAGGACTTGAGTATGATTTCAAGTAACTTGAATACGGCCCTTAGGGTCGTATTCTAGAACTCTATTAGTAGCCTTAGTCTCCTTCGCTTACTCAAGTTTAAATACAAGATCTCGCATCAAACAATACTTTGCAGCCTTGCGTAACAATTAACTATTATGTATTTGGGTGTATTTTAGCAGTAAGGTGAAAAATACATTCGTTAGCAAGTCACATGGTACCCTAACATTTTATGTGTGTTAAGGTTTTGTTTTCAGAATAACTTCAGTCTCATATAAAAGAATCATATTATATATTATTGTCTTTGGTATAAAAATGATAATTTAATTAATCATTTTTTAATAAGTAACTAAGCAAGTGTTAGTATTTTAATTATTTATACATGAATTATCTAGTTTTAAGGCCTTTTGTAGATACGAAAAGCAGCACGTCGACATTTTAACTGGAGATTCAAATTGAAGTTTATGCTCGTATAATAAGGACTAGTGTGTATTGCTATACATAATTGCTTTGTTAAGCGTACTATTGACTATGCGATTTATGCGGAAAATCATCTTCTTTACTTTCCATACTTTTCATATTTTCGAGGAAATGTCCTCAAAAATATAGATAAAGCAGGAGAAAGTGATAAATAGAGACGAAGAAAAAGAAGTACATAGAGAGAGATAAAGAAAACTGAGTTGAATAGTTTGAGTACCTATTTGCATAGTACACACATAGTGAATTTCTCGCTAAATCTCTCTAAATAGATCTGTTTAAATTATAATGGGTTTTAAACTAAACAATATAGCAGCACTGTAGCTCCATTTAGAGTCCAGTTTGAACTGACAGTATTATCAGTTTAAATCTAAGATTAGTGGCGCAAGGGTGACTTCATAACATTTATTTTGTGTTTATCACAGTGATATGACCATGCTAACAGCTCTGACAATGACAAATATTTTATTTACCAGATATACAGGTTGTTGACTTAATGAAATAATATTTAGTATTAATATCACAAAAGGATTTTGATATTAAATATAATCATATTTATTTATTTTCAAGACACCAAAAAATTTTCAGCTCTATTAAAAGTGTTCTATAAAAAAGATCTAATTATACATATATAAAATATAATATTTTCAATTTTTTTTTTCATTCAGTTAGTTCAAATATCTATTCTGTGCTGTTTGGGAAATATAGAACTTGGTAGAGTTCCATGACTAAGCCGAATACCCTGTGAACATAGACTAAAATTGTTTTCTACAGATTTATAACTACAGTGAAATTCAACACCACAATTGGTTGACATTTGCTCAATCCATTTCAATACAGGCAATTCCTCCCTTGCCTAGGGCCAAAACAATAACCAATGTCATGTATTAAGCTGAAGTAGCTGTAGCTTAAAATAGAAATCAAGTCAACTGTCTGTTCTTACTGGAGTAGTCCAAATGAGAGTGAGAAATTGTTCTTACTGGAGTAGTCAAGTAAGAACAATTTCTTACAGTTGATTTGATTTGTAATTTAAATTGCTTTTTTTTAAGATATTGTTAAAGTTGAAAATGAAGCTACTTTTTGGGGTCTAAATTGCGTATATTTTGTCTGTTGACGTCCATGGCTGAATGAGATGGTAAAGTCCTTAACTATGTTGTTTAGCAATGTGTAGTAAACGCAAAAATCTAAGAAGCTGCATATATCTTTTGCAACATGCAGGCATTGAGCAATTTGAAATTATAATTTTGCATAGTAAAGATTTTATGACCATGGTTAATTATGCAAAGATTACCACTAGAAATTGGTTTCTTATTATAGTATACTATTTATTTACAGTACAAAATGTTAAGAAACAAAAGTCATAAGGTGGTCGGAAATCTGCAATTTATAATAGTTAATCCTTTTGTGTAGTTATATAGTAAATAAGAAGTGAATGTATAACCGAGTTCAATGTTCTTCCTTATGTTTTCCTTGTGGTACTAAATTGTATTATGTTGTTTACAGCTCAAGGGTAAGTGTCAAATAAACAAAATAATTTAAATTTAGAACAAAATACAAACTCAAGCATGTTTTTATATAAAAACACTCTCTATTTGTAATTAATGAAATAAAGTTCAATATTTTATGGAAAATGTTGAGTATATAGTCTAAAATTAAATGAAATATGTATTTACCTAATTTTGCAATTTATCTAGAGGTGTTATTCAATAACTTACTACCATGGTAATAAAGATTGAAGCATATATAATTACTTCCAATCAGAATCTACTTAGATGGCAATTACTAATTAATTTAAATCATTACATTATCTAAGGTTGATATTAGACACTATACGACACTAACGATCTGGAAACAATTTCTAGAACATTTATTTGATTTCGAAAACAGAATAACGAATTTTTGTATTTTCCAATAAATGAATACATTGTTGCGGTAAATGAATGAATAGGTTTCCGAGGAATAAATGAATAACAATTTTGTTGCTTGGGAGTAATGACGACCTCGAAGAATATTGTTCGTGTTTGTGTCGGTGTGTATGCACTGACATAACCATTCAGAAGAACAAAGTCCAACAAGAAAACGATCGCTTCGAGGTGTCGTTTTCACAGAACACTTCCAAGTGTGCACTAATTGTTATTTATTGTGCTATGTAACCTCAATTGTAATTTGATGCTAATTGGGTACAGTATATTCGCACTAGCGTCAAACGAAACCATACGATCCCGAATTGAAATAAACTACGAAAATCCACGGAATGACGCAAAATTTTCGTATTTTTAGCGAAAATTATAAATAGATCGGATTCAGTATTGATGTTTACTAATAACGCCTTTAGTGTAATTTGGTACAAATTATGAATGAAAGTGTCAGTAAACAGTGAATAGTGCATCACACTAACCTTTTTCGTCTAACTGCAGTTGTGTTTTTACGTATTCTGTGGGGAATGTAATACAAATTTCAATGCCACCAGTTATACCGCCGGCCACTACGCCTTTCAAACCAATGGATCCTGAGCCTCCTGCCGCAGCCGCTGCACCTGTCTCGGTCATCCATGGTCTGGAGAATGGATTTTTAAAGTTTCCCGTCCTCGAAGACATTTCCCCAGCTAATAGGCTCTTGTTTACAGCAACGACCACGGCGTGCGCCCTCCCCCACTTTGTAACTCCAACTGATTGATCGGATTGATTGAATGAATAGAATAGCATTGATCGAGCAAATATAATTTGATAAAGTCATCACGACGAAACGAACAGGCCGATTGACGCTACCGGATTTTTGCAAAATATCGTAATAATGTCGAGCAATCTTGATTAACAGGAACAACACTACGCACTGACGCCGCCATTTTGACAGAAAGCTTACCGGTTTTGTAATCATGAGGTGTTGTTTGCAATTGTTGTGGATATTTTAAAGGAATTAGTGGAAATCTGTGTTTATTTGTGAAACAGAATTAAAGAAAAAAATTAAAATGGCTCTTAGAACGTACGGCGACAAGCCGATAAGTTTCCAAATCGAAGAAGGAGGTGAATTTTACTGCGTCGGATCGGAGGTAATTAAGTTTTACAATATTTATCATATAATTGTTGGTTTATTAATATTTTAATATATTTTGCGAAAATTCTACATTTTCGTGATTGTTTCAGTCCTATTCGAGATATCACTATAAATATAATATTGTTTGAAATTTAGAAACGATATTGTGGACGTCGGCATTTGCCTAGTATTTGCATCATTTAGTGTGAAACGTTTGAAAATGAGATACAAAATGAGAAATACACAAACCTACATAAACTATTGATAACTTACATAATATTATTTAAAGTTAAGGAGTAGATGGCTCTCCCAGACATTGAGATCAGCCCAAGAGTTAATTCTGGAACACTCTGTTCTGGGAATGAATTCTGATGGCATGCTTCCCAAACAAAACTTTAAAAAACTTTACCAGGAAGAATTTCCAACTAGGGAGGACTGGGAAACTAACAGTCTCACTTGGAAGGACGGTAGACTTCTAACCATAGACCCATTGTTATACCAATACTGATGGGTCTGTGATGGGACCCAACGTATGTTGTGGTATACACGGTGTGATACCCAGGCTCAGCTACAAGCTGAACATGGAACAACACTCTTTGCATTTCAGACCGAAATGTATGCCACAATTACTTGTGCGGATTAGAACCTGAAGAGAGGCTATGTTGACAAGCATATGTACATAAATTCAGATAGCCAAGCGGCTCTACATGCACTAGCCTCAGTTACCAAAACATCGAGGATTGTGAGAACTGTATAAATATACTGAACACTCTCGGGGAAAGTAATACAGTGGTACTGCGCTGGGTTCCAGGCTACTCTGACATGGAGGGTAATGAGTCAGGGGAAGAACTGGCAAATGCTGGTGCTAGGGAAACCTTTATTGGACCCAAACCCTTCATAGGGATAGCATACAGCCTGGCAAAGCTCACTCTGCTAAATGAGAGCACACACCTCTCCCGAGAAGTGTGCCTACAAGATAAGGGTCTTGAGCATTCAAAAGCCCTGATGTCTGCCTACAGTGCCAAACACTGTAGAGAAACTCTGTCATTGGACATGAGAATGGAATGGCATAAGAATGCTCACTAGAGCTTTAATAGGGCAATGTGGCTTAAACAAACACATGTCAAATATTGGAAAGAGAGAAAGTAGAGAATGTAGATTCTGCTACACAGAGGATGAAACTCCTGTTCATCTACTCACCCAATCTACCCCCTGATGGGCGTACAAAGTTCTGTACTGGGAAGGCACATGTCACAACCAGAGGACATTAAATCTGTCGGAGCCAGGAAAGTCCTTCAGTTTTTCAATGCTGTCGGCCTTGGCTCTGCACTGTAATTAGTGGTGATCACAATACATGATGAGGGGATGCATAGGCCCTGAATAAAGCCACCTTAATAATAATAATACATAGTATTGGTTCATAAAATTCTAAAACACTTCTGTAGTTTATGGCCTGATAATCTAACCCTTAATCAAACTTCTAACCGTCTGACTTTGTTTCATATGTGAAGTTCATGAATGGGTTTCAATCAATCATTGAATATTTGAAGCTTCTTGTCGAAATAAATTAATGGGAATTAATATTTCATTCTGAAAATAATAAAGTTAGACAGTTACAACCTTTGAGACAAGTTTTTTTAAATATCAAATGATGGGATGTACAAGTCGTCCTCCAACCTATCCATAACAGTTGCAGTGTCACTCAGAGCTTTAAAATACAAAGTTCTGAGGAGCACTGCCACTGCACCCGTCACCTTGAGACAAGTTGACAAGTCCCATGTGCCTGTAATTTCACCAGCACAGTTACACCTTGTGAGAGCAGAGACTAAATTCTACCATGAAGAGGATGACATTTCTCTGCATCTCTTTATCCAATGCAGGCAAAGGAGATAAAAACAATCAATGTCAAAGGGAAGTCTTCAGTTCTGTAACACTGGTGTTCTCGGGTCTAAATCATAATTAGTGGTGATCATAGATCAATAGGCAATTGGTCAATAATAAAAAATTAATGTTAAATGTGGTTAGAAAAAATTTAAAAAGGGAGAGAGAAAGCTATGATTCAATCATTGACTTACAAATAAATGGACGACGGGTCTAATACAAAAACCACGAAAAAAATGTCCCAAGTCAACCTATTCGAAATTTAAATTGTTATGTCATCGCAGTATCGCGCTGTCCGTAGAACAAATGAAGGCTAAAGCGGAGTGTCGCGCTCTGTATACGATTTTAGCGCCTTACAAGTGCGGACACTTTTTAGCGCGGACCCGACGTCCATATAATTGTAAGTCAATGGATTCAATCAATATTTTTGTGAAATAAATAATCATTTGTATTTTAAATTAATAAATAACATGAAAACTGGTTCATTTTTAATCAGTAATTGGACATAGTTATGCAAACAAGAACCAACCCACACCTCAAGTGAAATTGAGTTATGTATTTAGGTAGAACACCAGACGTGTCCATTACCCGCTCACAAAAATCCTGGCAATAGACAAAGCCAAAACGGGGAAAATAAAAGTCCTTCAGGGTACCAACCCTAAATAAGTAACTTTTTAATAGCTCAAAAGAACCATGCTACTTAATTCCATATAATGTATTTTTAAAATAAGCTAAATGGATCCATGTCACGTCACACTGAAGTACTATAGACCTTTAGCGTTTTTATTACGAAAACTAGAACATGGTTCTCGTTAACTAAAAGTTGCATAATGTTTTCTATTTATTGCTATATAATATAATAGTTTTCATATATAACTCACGTTGTTTGTCTCTATTAACTTACCTATTTATTTCTTCACACTGTTTTTACAAAAATCTAATTATCTCGAAGGTGACATTTTGTGAGTTGGTTCTAGTTTGCATAACTATGTCCAATTATGCAAACACCGTACATGATGACCTTTCCATGTTACCATGTGTTTTTTCTCTTAGTCATTTTTTGATTAAAAACTAAAAAATTTGGAATTAGGACTGTATTGTCAATCAAAATGTAAAATTTTTGCATGTAGTAGTTTTGCTCGAAATGATGTCACTCGCTCTGAGTTCACAAATACTGCTGTTTTTGCACAGCAATTTATATTTAATTACATTTAAACATAGTTTTAAGGATTTAAAAAATTTTGTTTAAATAAAATAGTATTTTTCTTAGCTGCATTTATCCATTATGGTTAATTTTAAATACTTTGTGAAAAGTTGTCCACATCTCTATTGCTGGTTGCAGTGATGAAGGCTGGACAGGTCCTGACTGAAGCCACCCTAATAATAATAAAGAAAGAATAGAACAGAATTTTTGGAAACGTCTAACTCAAAATTTTTTTCTTCAATTTGTAGAAGATATTTTCAAGATTTTATAACTCAATCTGTATGAATTGTACTTTAAGTACAAAATTATCTGCTTTGTAACATCAATGGAAGCTATGAAAGTTTTGACATTAATTGGAAAATTCGCACTCAACTCCCTCGATTCAGTCAAATTAAAAATCTAAACAGGCACTTGGGTGACTTTAAAAACTGCATTTGATAGAGTCAAATGCAGTTTTCAAGCTTTCATATTAATATAAAAAAGTAGTAATTAATAGGCCATTATTCACTGAAATGAGCCTTCAAAGATACTGAGGTGGAATATTCCTAACATAATAATTTGATAAAAAAAATAAATGGATGCTATTTTATCAGGAGGATTATGATAGAAAGTGTATAGACTGACGTCATTATCCTGGCCACCCTGTATATAATGTTGACACAGTATATGTATAGACTTGCTGGGACTCAATACTTATTTAATTCATAAAATAAACTTATAAGAAATTACTTTCAGGTTGGCAACTACTTACGGTTATTCCGTGGCTCACTTTACAAAAAGTACCCTGGCATGGTGAGGAGGACCCTCACTAATGAGGAACGAAAACGTCTCATTGATAATGGCTTGGGACCTCATGTGCTGTCAAGTTCTGTTTCACTGCTGAAGGCTACAGAAGTTGAGGATATTATTGACGGAAATGATGATAAGTAAGTTGATGAAGTTTCTTTCATCACCACCACTGCATCGTCGTTGTTGTAATCAGCTTTTTATAGTGCTCTGGTGGATTGAGCTTCATTTCAAAGTTCAGCCAATAGTGGCAAAACTGCGACTCACTGAATGAAATTGCTGTATGTCCTGGATTTATAGCTGGAATGTCAATCATCCTAGCATGATAAGAATTTAAAATGTTTATTGGTACAAAATTATACATTGTCATTGAGACATAGGGTCGTATTCCAGAACTCTACTCAATGCTCAAGTCAGGACTTTAGCAGACTTGAGTATGATTTCAAGCACTGGAAATACGACCCTAATGGCTAGGACTTGAGTATGATTTTCAGGGCTCACTGGAATACTCAAGTCTTGACTTGAGTATTGAGTAGAGTTCTGGAATACGACCCATAGTTTATTACTAATAAACAAATTAAATGGTTTGGACTTGTGCCACCCAAGCACCTCCAGGAAGGAAGGGTCTGCTGATGACACAAGCCCACACCTCAATTGCACACATTTCATCTGTGTGGGAGAAACAACCACCTTTACCACTCTAGGTTGTCACTAGTTTGTGACTTTTGTGACTCAGCCTTTTTAATTAATTTTTACAACTTTTTTCAGATACAAGGCAGTATCAGTCAGCCAAGAGTTGGCAACTCCACGAGAAAGCAAGAGTAAAAAGCCACACAACCCAGCATGGATGCCTGTAATGCCAAACTCTTCACACTTGGATGCAGTGCCCCAGGCTACTACTATTAGTCGGACTAGGGTGCATAATAAGAAGGTAAAAATTGCAGTAGAGGGTAGATTGTGTATATTGAATGAAACTGTGATGTGTCAGTAAAACTCTTATAATATTACAAAAAACACTTATCAAATAATTGCGTAGTTATAGTTATTATTATAAACATAGATTTCTCTAAATGGGGGGTGACGTCACGGACGTCTGTGTTGCAACTTGCAGTTTTGTGTCTCGCTCGTTTTTTCTCTGATTAAAAATAATAAACAGATCCTATCTCACATAATAACCACATAGAAAGAACCGTCACAGTGTCAGTGTCTGTGTAGTATTACAAGTGCGTAGAAAGTATGGTGTATTACGGAATTAAAACCACTTTCATATCAATAGTATATATCATCACCATTATTTATTAAACGTATAAGGTACCTCAAAGACAACAAAAAAATTAAACACCGCCAAAAAAAAAAACCAAAAAGTATTTGTCCTAACTCAATTAAGTGCAGTGACCCCTCGCGGATCATAACCGTACTCATTAGCGAGTCCGCTGTCTAACGTTTATAAAAATATTTGCGTTCGATATGGTGGTTAAGTGCAGTGCGTGTTACAAATTTATTCCAACGCTAGAGGGCGCAAGTGTCGCTTGCCCAATATGTAAAAAATCCTACCATAGGGATTGCGTAGGAGTTCAAAAAAATAGCACCGTACCGTCATCGTGGGCCTGCCCGGATTGTAAGGCCAAGTTGCCTAGGAGTAACCACGACAACACTCCTGTCAAGATCCAAGACGCTCCGAAAGGCGCGGATTCTGAGTCGCTACGGCTATCTGACACCGAGGAAATTTCGCAGGAGACAAGTCTCGCATACGAGCTCCGCGCTTTTCGCCTGGAAATGTGCCGGACTAGGGAGGAGCTAAAAGGATTACGCCAAGATCTATTCGAGCTAAGATCGACAGTGCGCTCCTGCGAGAACCGTCTGGATAAGGTGGAGGAGACGGTTCAAACACTATTGGACGCACGATTGAGTGGGACCGGAACTGACCCCGGAATCGCTAAGGTAATCCTGGCGCTCGAAACTAATGTTGAGAGACTTCAGCACGACATAAACGATCGCGACCAGGAGCTGCTGCTAAACGAGGTCGAAGTTAGCGGTGTTCCAGAAGAGAATGGGGAAAATCCGATCCACGTCGCGCTAGCCTGCGCCGCCAAACTGGGCATGAAGCTGGACGAACGTGAGTTGGTAAGCTGCGTGCGCGCGGGCGCACCTCGGCGCGAAGCGGGCGCGCGGCCGCGACCGCTGGCCCTGCGGCTGGCGCGCCGCGACACGCGGGACGCTATACTGCGCGCGGCACGCGTGCGGCGTCACATCACCACAGAGGGTCTGGCATTGAAGTCCGATCCCAGGCCCTTCTACATCAATGAGCGGCTCACTCCGATAAACCGGCGTTTATTCTACCGCGCGAGACAAGCAGCCGGTCGGCAACAGTGGAGGTACGTCTGGACCAAAGACGGCAGGATTTACTCAAGGAGGGACGCCGGAACCCCTGCTCACCGAATCCGCTGTGAAGCGGACTTGGTGAAGGTTTTTGGTCCAGAAGTTGTTTGTTCCCCGACTACAGAGACCGGATTATAATATGTATCATAATTATATTTTTTATGTTATTTTTGTATGCTCTGTTACTATTTTTAATGTGTTGTCACGTGTGCGGCAGTGAGTTTTTCGCAAAACATTCAAAAACTATTTACATACTATATACACTTACCTTATTTTACATTCATTTATTTTTATACTCGCACAAATTTATTCGTTCAGCTACTTACAAATCTACAGACACACAAACTTTACATGTTATTTTTATTATATATATACACTATCTACTGTATTTTTACAAACATAATTGTCAACAAGCATTTTACAACAATTATGTTAATACAAAACTAAACATGCAAAATAGATACGGACTCGGACAGACATACCTAGACTCCAGGAGGGACTTATTATTATATTATCTCACAATAACTGCGACGGCCTACAACTATTTCATTGTCACCTATAAATTGCTCAATACAAAAATTTACTTTAATGTTCACTATAAATATTCAACTTAAAACGTAAATTTAAGTTAGGATTATTAAATGTGGGCTCATTAGGTACACGCCATGACGAATTTATAGTTGCAATGGATCGACACGACGTCGATATTATGGCAATTAATGAGACGTGGTTGAGAGAGGGCGAAGAGGGCCGCGCGCCGTCGGTACCTGACTACCGGTTACGTCATATTCCCCGACCGTCCGCTGTGCGCTCGCGAGGCGGTGGGGTCGGTTTTTATATACGACGAAGTATCGTTATTCGTGTACTACCTCATCCGCCGGCTCCACTAGTTGAGCAAATGTGGCTATGTGTAAACGTAAACGGGATAAAGTTACTGGTAGGAACTGCATACAGACCTCCGTGGCTTAGTGTGGACACGTTCACAGATGCTCTTGCTGAGAGTTTGGGTTGTTTCTCATGGTGTACCGGTGTGATATTGTTAGGAGACTTTAATATTAATCTATTGGATCAATCAGATAGCAATACCAAGAAGATGCTAAATTTTTTTAATTGTCACTCGTTGAACCAATATGTGACTGAGCCCACGCATTACACAGAATTTAGCCAGACTCTTATTGACACTGTAAGTACTGATATAGAAAACAATGTTATTGTACACGTCGATTATATACATGAACTAAGCCGACATGCGTTTATCACCTGTGCACTAGACATTATGAAAGCAAAACCACCACCAATGAAAATAGTCCGTAGAAATCTGCTAAACATTGACCATGAACAGTTTTATATGGATCTGTCTACCGTAGATTGGATGAGTATAAGTCACTTAGAGGATGTAAATGACATGGTGAGGCAATTCAATGCTGGAATTGTCGCATTGTTTGATACTCATGCACCACTTCGGGCATTATACGCTAAGCAGCACCGATACCCTTGGATCACATACAATGTCAAACAGCTTATGAAACGTCGAGACGAGGCACATGTAGTGGCACGAACCGAAGGCAATGACTCGCAAAAGACCTACTACAGGGAGCTAAAAAAAATTGTTAATGAAGTGTTATCTACTGAAAAGAAGGCTTACTTTGACCATTATGTAAACAATCAAAAAGATGCTAGGGTATTATGGACACACATAAAAAATAATGTCAACATAAAAAATAAGCCAGAGGTACCGGTACATATTTTTGACAATCCAGATTTGATAAACGACCATTTCTTAAATGTACCCGGTAGTGCACAGGCTGCGTTATCAGACGAGACGTATTTTCTGGATAGTTGCAAGATTTCCACAAAACTAACTTTAAAGACAGTGGACGAGTTTGAAGTGTTGCAAACTGTGCGATCGCTTAAGTCGAATGCGGTCGGCCTTGATGGAATATCACGGGACATGTTACTGTTGTCTTTGCCTATTATACTACCAGTTATTACAGCTATGGTGAACAGATCCATTGAAACGAACACTTTCCCAACAGATTGGCGACACGCAGTAATAAGGCCTATTCCTAAAAATAATAACCCAACTACCCTAAAAGACATACGGCCTATAAGCATATTGCCTTGCGTGTCGAAGGTCCTGGAAACTATTGTAGTCAAACAAGTCACTAATTTTCTAGAAAGCAATAAACTTCTTCCTAATGTACAGTCTGGGTTTAGAAAAAAACATAGTACGACAACTGCAATGGTCCAAGTTGTTGACGACATTCTATCCGCGCAAGACAATGGTCAGGGCACATTGCTGACGCTACTTGATTTTTCCAGAGCCTTTGACTGCATAAATATTAATATGTTATTAGTAAAATTACACTTCTACGGTTTTAGCCATTCTACTATCAAGTGGTTTGATAGCTATCTGAGAAATCGGACTCAGTGTGTCGAAATTTCCAACCAGTCTGGATCAAAGCTGTTGTCTAGGTCACGTGACGTCATGCGCGGAGTGCCGCAAGGTTCTATTTTAGGCCCTATCCTCTTTATCATCTACAGTGCAGATGTGATAGATCATATTAAATTTTGTAAATATCATATGTACGCTGATGATATACAGATTTACATATCATGCAAACCAGGTGATACTCATGCAGCCGTGTGTAAGTTAAATGAGGATTTAGAACGTATAGCTTCATGGTCGGAATCAAATGCGCTAGTACTAAATGGTAATAAATCAAAATATATGGTGCTAGGTACAAGGCAACAAACAGCGAAAATTACAAGTTACAGAATTTCTCTAGCGATCAGGGGTGAAATTATTGAGCGTGTAAGAGAGGCTCGTAATCTTGGTCTCCTTATGGATGAACAGCTACGTTTTGAGAAGCATGTGTCAGGCGTCATTAGAAATTGTTTCTATAGATTAAAAGTGTTATATAATATAAGAAATTACCTTAATGAGGCCGTTCGAATCAAATTATGTGATTCACTGATACTCTCTAAATTTAATTACATGGACATTGTGTATGGGCCACGACTATTACAGCGCACGCAACAAATGATACAACGAGTGCAAAATGCATGCGCGAGGTTCATCTTTAACATACCATCACGCACGCACGTAACCCCTTACATGAACAATGCAAATATTTTAAAAATGAAGGCGAGAAGAGATCTGCACCTAGCTACACTTCTGTTTGGGGTCATAAAATACAAAGTTCCGCCTTATCTGGCCGAGAAGTTGATGTGGTCCCGCGACGTAAAAACTGCCTTCACCAGAGCATCAGCTTGGTCGCTGGTTCTGCCGCGCTGTCGCACTACCGCATTCCGCGGTAGTTTCAAATTTGCCGCAGCGAAAATATGGAATGTTTTGCTGCCGCCGCCATTACGTAGTCTGAAATCAGTGCATACGTTTAAAAGCAAATATAAAAAACATCTGTTAGATATCCAAAATAATGCAGTTTAAGTTAACCTGGGCACTTGCCGCACTGTTTTCGACTAAAGGTGTTGGTCCGCGGCAGTAATCGTTCTCTTTGCTTTATTTGCGGGATGGGACACGTGCAATATGCGCCTATATGGAGATAATAAATTTGGTTGTTTGTTCCTGAAAAATGTAATTAGTTATTGACTTTCTTATTATCGCAATTATATTACTCAATTATAGGTATGTATACTATTTCATTCTCATACTATTTAATTAAAATTCTATTCAATATAAAATAAAATTGTGTATGACATTTTTTTTTTTATTATTGATTTTTTTATTATGATATTCTACAATTATTGTGATAAAAATGGTACGTACCTGTTATGGTATAGGAGATTGCATGCTATTATGCGTAGTAAATACCTACGACGACGGAGGACGAAACTTGTTTACAACGCAACGGAGTAAGTTGCATTAAACAATACAAACGTGTGATCAGCGATGTGCCGGTTGTCAAATAGCGTCCCCACCCCTCCCGTGCGTCAGTCTGCGCGTCTTTTGTCTAACCGAACTCGGAGCGAACGAGTTGTATAATTTTATTTATTATGTAATTACGTAACCACACTATAAACGCACACAGTAGGTATATTTATATATATATATATATATATATATTTGCTATATTTAAGTACTTTTGCGATCTATAATATAACACACAGCATTAACACAACGTACAAAGAACACATACGCAATTATTTAAGTAGTTTATTTTATTTTGTGACACACACGTCCGTCACTCATCTCAGCTCAGGGCTCATTGAAAACCAGCTCCACAGTCAATTGCGGCTGTGGCATAAGCTGAATGAAGTCCTTTTGCATACGCCACAACCGCACACATGACAGTACAACATTTGTAGTTGTTATATTTAGTATTTTTTGTTTTGCTCTTTGTTTGTTATTGTCTTATTTCATTTTATTTTAATTTTGTTTATTACGTCTTTTTGTTTTGTTTTGCTTGTCTAAGTAGTATCAATATTTTTTTTTTGTATCTATGTGTTGTGGCGTTGCAATAAATGTCTATTCTATTCTATTCTATTCTATTCTAAATTTAAAGGGTCAGAATCAACTGCGGTAACACTGCTAGTCGGCTAGACACATAAACTGTCCTCAGAACGAAAAAGGCACATCTGCTGTATAAAGTACGCATAGTTGTGCCCTTTTTCGTTATGAGGGCAGTAAAGTGGAATGTAGGTTGATTATTGGTCTCTAGACAATATTATAGGACTATGGTTAGGTAAATCGTATAGATTTAGTATTATGGGTAAATCCTATAGTGACCTGGTAAATAATGAATGTGTTTTTTTTTTCTGAAACGAATTTTTGTTTTTGCTGATTGAAGAAATATTTTCATGGACTTCTCACAGATGGCGCTAAAAAGTTATTAAAAACAAAAAACAACAAGCACTTAGAAGAATTCCTAAGGTCTGGTAAGGTGATTCGTTCCATAGCTCAGTTGGGAGAGCGTCAGCCACGATATGGTGAAGGCGCTGGTTAGAATCTAACCGGATCGTATGAACTTTTCCTTGTGATCAATCTTTGTATTAATAATTGTAATGCACAATGTTGTTTTTTCGTGAAATAACCATGTTCAAGTTTTTCCAGCAAAGTTTTGCTGCTAAGGTTGAAACTCGATGGTTCCACTGATGTGGTAAATAACATTGTGTCATTTTGGTGACATACTGTGTCAGATCTTTATAACAATAAACTGATCTCCGACTGGAAATTCCCTCTACTATGCTGTAGTAACGAAATTTATTCCAGAGGCCACTATCCAGAACTCCAAAATGAGAACTTATTTTAATATAAGTTTACTAAGTTTATTAAATTGGACCATCGGGAATCTTTTTCATGACATTAGTCATTTATGAAATTTATTCTTTTCAGGTGCGAACATTCCCCCTCTGTTTTGATGACACGGACATGACGGCGATGTTGGAAAACTCATCGCAAAAGCAAATCTTGGTCCCAATTCGGCTTGACATGGAGATCGAAGGACAGAAGCTCAGGGACACTTTCACTTGGAATAAGAATGGTTAGTTTTAATATTTATTTATTGAATACTATGTTTTGCTATTATGTTTTTTTTTTTTTTTTGTGAAAGTACTCTACTAGTTTGTCATTATTAATATGAACACAAAGTCCAGGGAAGTACTGCCACCTTACCTATTTATGTCACCAAGCAGTAATGTCAGCATTACGGTCTTCCGGTATTGAAGGGTAAGGGTGCTGGTGAAATTACGGCCACATAGGACTTGTCAACTTATGTGTCAGGGTGACGGGCGCGATCTTGCGAGTTAAAGCTCTTGAGTGGCACTGCAACTGTTATGGACAGGCGTGTAGGTTACCTTGAGACGCACAACTTGTTCGTCCCGTCACTTGATATAATAAAAAAACGAGAAACATTTGTACGGCGTTAGTTTTAGAGTCGAATTTCTGCTTGCAATTTTTTTTATGATATAAGCGACGGGACAAACAAGTCGTGCGCCTGGTGTTAAGCGACACGCCTATCCTTGACAGTTACAGTGCCACTCAGAGCTTTAAATCTCGAAAATGAAGGGCACTGCCACTACGACCGCCACCGTGAGACATAAGGTTGACAAATTCCATGTGCCTGTAATTTCAAAACAGGAACGCAGTAATGGTCACATTATTGCTTAGCAGAAGTAGATGAGGTATCAGTTCTTTCCTGGACGAGCTCTGCTTGTATCAGTCCCTGAACGCTAGAACTTGGGCTTTTTCAAGGCTTATTCGTTAAATACTAACAATCTCCCTGGAATGTTTTTTTTGTATTATTATTTTATTTGCGATCGGCCGCCAAGCCATTAGCGAATCTTTTCCACGAGATAAGACGTTTTTGGTGGAGCGACCGTTGCCGCACCTCCACACTATAGATGGCATGGCCTCGCTTAAGCCGTTTGACCATACTAGATGGATCTAGAAGTTCCACGATAAGTGGGTTCGGGTGACAGGACAGACGTTCTTTGTGCGTAGTTTTATGCCGGTCGATCTCAGCAGCTACCGATGACACGTTTAGATGATCATTTATCTCTTCATTACGAGTGAGAACCAAGGGGCATTGACTATTTATTACAAAGTATATTACTCTTGCTAGCCACACCCCACAGTTGAATACCGTATGTCCAAATGGGTTTTAAGACTGAGTTGTAGATTAGAATTTCTTCCTAAGAGCCAATGTAGGTTACGATATTTGAGATTGACTTCATCTCTTTTTCGTTTTATGTGATGTTTCCATGTGAGAAGGAATGTGTTACTAACATCATAAACGACAACTTTTATTCCATGACTGTTTATTTTCATCCAAAAATAAAAATATTTAAATAAATCACTCTGAACGGTGATAACTCTAATGCAAAACGCGGGTGTCGTCGGTGATGACGTTTTCACGTTTGAACAGACTATTTTACTACCAAGTACAGATCTAAATAGTGTCAGATTGTACAAACAAGATTTCATTTTTGGTATATTTATGGTTATTAAGATTAATTAATTTTATTTATTTATTATTTATTTATCATATTTAAGATTTCTCATAGATGGCGCTACGGCTAAAAAGTCGTTGGAAAGAACCAAATACAAAGACATGAGAACAAATACATAGAAAAATTCGTGAGATCCACCGTTTCGTCCCGTGGCTTGGTTGGTATAGCGTCTGGCACGGTATGCTAGAACACGTCGGTACGAAACCGACCGGATCGAAGGAATTTTCTCTGAGTGTTCGATCTTTGTATTAATAATTATAACAAATTAGTGGAGTAATTTCACATAAAAAATAATTGAATATCTATTCAATAAAAAAATTATAACAGTATAACAATATAAGTCACAGAACAAGTTGTTATGTATTGGTTGGTCAAAATTGTTTATGGTGTTAGTAATCTAGTCCTATAGGCGAATGCTCCGGTGAAGGAGGCTACCGAATTTTACAAGTGTTGCGCAACGAATGCTCGGCTCTCCTCCCTCACCCCCTGTAACGCTCGCTTTTGAACATTACATTACAACCGCATGCTCGCTTTTGAACGTTACATTACAACCGCATGCTCGCTTTTGAACATTACCTTACAACCGCATGCTTGCTTTTGAACGTTACATTACCACCGCATGCTCGCTTTTGAACGTTACATTAAAACCGCATGCTCGCTGTGTGAAGGAGCACCCTGAGGTTGTTAGTATTTTAAAAATTCACCCCGTATGTAGGTGTGCATGCTACATCATCGACGTCATTCTTTTTCCATGAGGTGAGAGTTTTTTTAATGGTTAAAATAGGTAGGTCAAACGCGCACCTATTTAACCATAAAAAAAAATTCAATCTGACTGGACTGTAAGCGTGTCTACTGCCTAGAAAAATTTTTGATTTTAACTAAAAAATGCTATACAGAATAATATAGTTTGAAAAACATACGTGAGCGGCGGCTGTGTGTATGTGTCCACCTGTCGGTCAGTATTTTAATTTTATTTTATACTCTGTATGCCATACAAAATGTGCATTTTTCAGTACTTCAATTGGACGTAGTTAAATAAAAAGGATCCAATGCACATCTAGTCACTTTCGAGATATGGCAGTTTGAAGTTTAAAAATGTTTCTTACTCTTGTTTTATTTTCACATGTTATAATGTCATGTGACTCCAGCAAAAAAACCAACATTATAAACATAAATAAGATATTTTTTTTGCTGGTTCCTAAAGCCTAACCTCGATAGACTTTAGGAACCATTTGGTATATATAACTATTTTTTTGATAATTTTGTGGATTGGATCCTTTTTGCTTAACTACGTCCAATTTACGGTAAGACAGTGGTGGTCAAAATGGATGATATTTATACATATATTTATACATATATACATTAAACGGTAATTCTCGGACTAGTGTTCACTACCTAATTTTGGCAATTTTTATTATTTCAATATTCAAGTATATTATCGTGTAATTATTAAATAATATTTCACGATATAATTGTCGAATATTAAATAATATTGCATAATAAAAAATCGAATACTTAAATAATAAAAGTTGTCACGGATATATTAGATAGTGAACACTAGTATGAGAATGACTAAAAATCTGATGATTCTGCTAACACAAACGTGTATTCCAGGCTGAAAATAGCCATCTGCGGTGACACTGACAGATAAACATTGCCACAAACAATAAAACTATCTCTATATCATTAACCCATTAAAAGACCACTATGATAAATTTCAGAATCAATAATAACTCCAGAACAATTCGCCGAAGTCCTCTGCGATGACCTGGAACTAAACACCAGCACGTTCATACCTGCCATAGCGTCGTCCATTCGACAGCAAATCGAGGCGTTCCCCAGTGAACCACCAGCGATCTTGGAGGAACAGAGTGACCAGAGAGTGGTTATAAAATTGAATATTCACGTTGGGAATACCTCTTTGGTTGATCAGGTGAGATTTCAGTTTCTTGTCATCATTATCACAGAGCAATTTAATTTAATTAGTTTATTTATTGCACCATGTTATGTACATAGGTACAGACCTTATGTTAAGTACATAGAAAATATATGAACTCAGTGGGACACCATGTGACAGGTTTATACAAATTGATCATCTAAATATTGATGTAATATAAATAATAATAATAACAACGCACACACTCAACATAGCTCCGCACTAGGGAAACCCTGTGTCGCGGGTGCCATGGACACACACATAGACAACCACAAATTACACCCAAACTCACGAGAGAAATAAATGCCTACATTTATTTCTCTTCTTCACTTCAGCCGCAGTAGCGTCCTGAAGGACGTAATTACATTGCGTACGTAGGGCTCTGAGCGAGCTTTGGGTATAGCTGGCCCACAACTGCCTCTGGCCAAACGGTTACCATTGTTGCCACGCAGAGGTCCCAGGTTCGATTCCCGGGCTGGGAGAAATATTTGTATGACCTGCGTGTTGAAGGACGTAATTACATTGCGTACGTAGGGCTCTGAGCGAGCTTTGGGTATAGCTGCCTCTGGCCAAACGGTTACCATTATTGCCACGCAGAGGTCCCAGGTTCGATTCCCGGGCTGGGAGAAATATTTGTATGACCTACATTTATTTCTCTCGTGAGTTTGGTTATAATTTGTGGTTGTCTATGTGTGCGTCCATGGCACCCGCGATACGGGGTTGCTATAATGGACGAAAATTGAAAAATTATGTAATGTAATATTTAATTACCGATGAAATGTGATTCCGTTTGTTTTGTAATTAGATGTTTTGCTGGTTTTCCCACATCACCGAAAGGAGCAGCCACTCATAGTTAGGGATATTATCTTTATTACAATTAATTGATACATAATATTTTTGGAATATACGGAGACGTACACACAGGTCAGTTGTTGGCGCTGTACTATTTCAGCTTTCTAATTTGTGATTTGAGCGCAAACGAGAGTTGATATTTAAGGGTGATATTAGTACCATTTGACTAATGAGTTGGCCCTTATTTCGTCTCTATTTCTGTAGGGCTAGCACGAAAGGGCGCGACTGGCGCGAGTGCGACATAAAGCGCGGGATACTGCTATTCTCGCATAGATATATCGCGCTTTATGTCGCTCACGCGCTAGTCACGCATCATCGGTGCTAGCCCTGCTGATTATATACGCGATGATTTAAATATATTTTTTTAAAGTAGTCCGATTCTCTATTCTGTGATAGACTTATCAAACTTCAATATGGTTTTCTCATTCTTGCTTAGGCATTAATATTACATGGAGGATATAAGGTGATATTTAAAAATATACGTTTCAGGTGGAATGGGACATGTCGGAGAAAGAGAACAATCCTGAAGAGTTTGCAATGAAGCTTTGCTCTGAACTGGGTTTGGGTGGCGAGTTCGTGACTGGCATAGCTTATAGCGTACGCGGACAGCTCGGATGGCACCAGAGGACTTATGTTTTCAGTGAAGCCCCATTGCCCACTGTTGAGGTAGGCTATTTTCTCTCTGACTAGGTAATGTAATAATAATGTGCTAAACCACCACACCTACTGCCTGGTCTCGAAATTAGAGAATTCCCAGAGCAACGTAATTCTCTCAGAGCATCCAGAACTAATATAGAAATGGTAATTCCAAAATTGGTCCTACAGGGAATCGAACCCGGGACCTTAGTAGCAGTAGAGCTCCTTGTAAAAGAGTTCGTCCAGGGCGGTGTTGCCACCTTACCTATTTCTGCCGCCTAGCAATAATGGGAACATTACTGCATTCCGGTTTGGAAGGGTAAGGTTGCTGGGTGACGGGCGCAAGCAAAGCACTGAGTGGCACTGCAACTGTTATGGGTAGACGTGTCGCTTATCACCAGGCACATGACATGTTCGTCCCTTCACTTGGTATTTATAAAAGAAAAACCTCATCCGGCATCATGTTTTTGTACGTTCACTATCATTAGTTCACACATTATGCTTCGTACTATTGGGCAAGGTCTCTTCGAAATCGAGGGATTAGGTCGTAGTCTGCCGCGCTGGTTGATGGAGAGTCCACACGTTTTTCAAGAGATCATCTTCGACATGCAGGTTCAATCACGACGTTTAGTCACAGCACAGTCTTCCAAAATCCTTTAAACGTTGATTAGATTTAAATTTAGATTTATTTATTATCTTGTAAATTTTACATTGTTATATACATATAATGTACTCTAAGAATCGTTACAATAAGTATGTTACATTAAAAAAAAAATTAGAAAAATGATGTGTTAGCATTGTAGCAAATGGTAGGCTGTTGTTTCTGTCTGCCCCGATGTGAAAAGGGCGTCGAGTATTTTATTTATAATGTATGTATGTAGAAAAAGAAAATTGTAACTTCCTTCGTGGCCGAATGGTTACCATGCCGGACTGCCACGCAGAGGTCCCAGGTTCGATTCCCGGGCCAGGAGAAATATTTGTATGGCCTACATTTATTTCTCTCGTTTCCCTATTGCTTAGTGCCATTTTGCTTAGTTTTCGTTTTTCCGTAAATTTCAGTACAAACCACTGTTTGAATCACTTAAGTAATATTAATAATGCTTATTTCATTCATATACACATACAAAACAGTACGTACTTTAAATTTAAAAAAACTTGCTTCTATGATTGCGTGTACGTGCTAGTTATATAAAATGTTTTAACTCCCGAATCCCAAATGACACAACAGTTTGTGTTTTGGGATTCAGTGTTCCTCCGCTCACTAGCGATCACTAGGTAAATACAGTACAACCAAGAAGTAAAGTTAAAAGAAAACGTTAGATGTATGGTGGATGATGACGAATAACCCAAAATGTCACCTCCGCAGACGCCGTTCCGCAACCCGTCCGAAGCCGAGCAGTGGGCCCCGTACCTGGAGACGTTGACCGACGCCGAGATGGAGAAGAAGATCCGCGACCAGGACCGCAACACCAGGCGCATGCGTCGCCTCGCCAACACCACGCCCGGTTGGTAGATCCCCTTTAGGGCTGGCTCACACGACCGTTTTTTGAGTCTGTGTGACATCGCAACTGCTATTCCGATTTAGTGCTATATTAGCCGATATTAGCTTTTTTGGCGTCATCAACTCAAATTTCCGAACGGCATTTAAATCGGTCGGTCCTCAACAGATATGCATACATTTTTAAATTAGCATAAAATCGAATTGTAACTTTTTTATACAAAGTATATGGGCATCAAACGCTTCTGGAATGACAACTATTTGCCAAGTTTTACTCAAATCGGCTAACGGAAAGTGGGTGAAATTTAATAAACCGGGTTCATCAGGATTAGAGGTGGACTATTTGTTGCGAATTTCAATGGCACCACTACAGAGGTGCGGTACCTTTCCAACACAAAAAGAATCGTCGAAATTCGTTCACAAATGTCGGAGTAACTGAGTAATATATGTATATTGAAAATTCAATCGAATTGGAAACCTTATTTTTTATGTAAAAATGCAATTTTACCGGTCGTGACGAAGCTCAAAATTTGAATTTTAGACCTGTGTCAAAGGTCATCTTGTTAGTAGTAAAATGTTATATTGTAAAATGGGCAAAACTATGACAAAAACAAAAAGGAATAATAAATGATATTCACATTGCTCTGCGAGGAAGAGGATGTTACTTTTACCAATTTATAATTTATGCTATTAAAATTGAAGTAAGGCATAAATTTAAATGCTCGGAGACGCAGAGAAAAATGCGCCACGATGCTCTGAAGTCGGTCTCAGGGATTTGCAATTTATGCCTTGTTTCAATTGAAATAGAATAAATAATACATCGATAAATTTAACGTCCTCTGCCTTCCCGTCTATCGGTTTGCGCCGCAATGCAGATTTCTTTAAGATTAATCGAGGCATGAAATTCCAGAAAATACGAATTTGCAATATACATTAGTTGCGATGTCGCTAAACTCGAATGTACTTTGTGTATTTTAAAATTACAATAAACTGCAAAAATCATACGAAAATGCGTTTTTCAAGCGTGGAACATATACGGGGTGGAACCAAAAGGTGCAACCATGTCGCTTTTTACAGCACAAATGAACGTAACAGACGATTTTGATGGATAAATGTCATTGAACTATTGGCAATGAAACAATTGTCTCGGACCACCTGGCCGACGCAGTGTCGTGACCATGGGGCCTGTAAAGTACCCGAAACGTTGACTTGTTTGGAAAAACTAATAAAAATATATAAAATATACAGTATACTAATCGCAAAAAACTAGGAATTCCAATGAAAAATGTTTGGTTCACCAAAGATTTAATTTATAGGCATTTCACTACGTGCAAAATAGGACTCAAAATGTATACGCACACGGCAGAATTTATAACTTTATGGCATTGTAAATTTTAATAGCAGTGGAGCTCCTTGTGAAAAAGTTCATACGGGGAAGTACTGCCACCTTACCTATTTCTGCCGCGAACAGTAATGTGAGCATTACTGCGTCCGATCTTGAAAGGTAAGGGTGCTGGTGAAATTACAGGCACATGGGACTTTTAAACTAATGTCTCAGGGTGACGGGCACAGTGGCAGTGCCCCTCAGATCTTTTTGCGATTTAAGTTCTGAGTGGCACTGAAACTGCTACGATCAGGCAAATAAATTCTACCTAAATGCGGATACGCATGCGTTTTGTGTTCAATTTTCTACGTGCTATGTATCTGCACTCGGACCTTTGTATTTTATATTTATGGAAATTCATTTGTAGCTGAAAAATGGTATCACCTTTTTGTGGCAACCTGTATATGACTTCGCTTGTATTTCCTTTAGGATGGTTTTCAAATCTCACTTTTGGAATAAAATTTCGTCGTTTATAAATTATCTAATGTCATGTATTTAAAGAATAGTTTAATGGGTATGCTACGGTATTAATTTTACGTCGGTATTATGGCAATAACTTCTTATTATAAGAGCTTTTCTAGACCACAAATAATTTCCGAAAACGAAACACGTATTCTACTCGTTATTCTGAACCAATTTTTCTATGGCGACCATGGCGAATTATCAAAAAGACCAGAAAAACCACATATAAAAAATCATTCAAATGACAAAAAACCTGTACCAAATGTGCTAATAATCTTCATAAGGCATATTTCCCCGACAAGAAAAAGTGAGAAACTCAAGGGGTTGCTCTTTGTAAATAAACATTTGTCCAGATTTAACGTTTAGAATTATCAGACAATCTTAAAGAGCTAACAGGTCGACCAAGTACCCAGAAGCTGTGTAATAACTTTTAGTATAAAGTTTTTGTTGATCTATAGTTTTGAACCTCGTGAATGGCAAATTAACGAAATCTTATTATAAAAGCGTATACTTAAATGAATTTGTAACCTTGTGAAGACAATTACTGTCAAGAACAGCCAGATTCACAGTCCTCGTTCTCTCTCACTCATTCCATCAACCCATAGAAAAATATTAGTTGGTATTTAATTTGTATACCGTTCGTATGACGTGTAGAATACGTGGTTTCGACTTTATAAACATGTAGTATGGAAGAAGCGAAAGCAATAAAATTTTATGCGAACAAGAAAATACTTAACGAAACCGAACAAACTCAACGTGTTCAATAGTCACTGTTAAAAATCCTAAAAGTAAATTAAGCGTGGTAAGCTCAATATTTAAGGGGAGTAAAATTTTTTTTTCCGTATTTACTTTATTGCTTTCGCTTCCATTCAACATGTTTATACAGGCTGTAACAAAAGTGTTATCAAATTTCTGCTTATATTTATGAAAATTAAAAGTATTTAAAAAACCACACTAAATACCCACGGTTTAACGGCAAATATTATTTACAAAAGTTGTTTTTTTATCAAGATTATGGTCACCACCTAATATATCGTCGTCCTTATAACGAATGGAATAATGACGGAAAAAACTGTACATTTATACAGTAGCATTTTTAATTAGAGGTTTGAATTAGGAACTGGCGTTTAGTCAGTTGTTATTTATTGATGAAACAATAATAGTGTTGCCTCACTCACAATTAGAGCTATTAAAAATCCGACTGTACTTCGATTTAAAGTTTGATTTTATGTGTAGTTTGTGATACAAGTAATTTAAAATTGTGAGTTATGTTCATTCGTGCTGTAAGGGACAATAATGGTCGAATATTTTTGTTACCCTGTATACTACGGACGTGGCTAAAGTTTTTTTGGAAAGGTCTTTTAATACCCTATACAAAAGGTTATTTCTAAAATACCTGTAAAGTCTCATGATGGCGTTGCTGTTATTAATACACTTTCTTCTATAGTTTTGAAACAAAAGAACATCAATTTTTTGATTCCCCTGCTGTATTGTTATTTTATTGATTTGTATGAGACTAAAAAAGTTTGACTAGAAGGATTTGAAAAGTCATATAATTTGGTAGATGGTATCGTGTGCGATCTCGTGTACGAAATTTGATCGTATTTTGGATAGTAACATATTAATGATGAGTATTATTAATAATAGTGACATTTATCTAAATTTTAAAGCTACAGAATTACACGATCTCAAAAACTATTTCGAGACTGTGCCAATTTTTCAAAATGATGCATGATCAGAATTTTCTAAAGATTCTGAAAAGGTATAACCATTTCAAAAACAATAATCTGTTATGATGACCTCGGTCAGAGATTATTTATTAGTTACCTCAGTGGCCTAACGGTTGACACTGGGCGTTGGATGCAGTCCCGGTTCCGGTCCCGGGTTCGATTCCCGGTAGGACCTTTTTGGTAAATGAAAATGTCTAAATTGGTTCTGGTCTGGGTGTTCTGAGAAGTGTCCCAGAGTGAATTCCGTTGTTCTGCTACTCATAGTACTGTAAAGTCCTAGGTTTGAAATCAGGTTATTGATGTAGTTGTCTGGCACATTTTAAAATACAATAATTGCTAGCAAAATTTTTCAAAACGAATGCTATCTTGCCTACGCATCTGTCGTCGCCTCACGTTCGGTAGAGATAGCAACAATATTATGAAATACCTAAAGCGCCTGGGAAATTTTAATGACAGCAATAACACGGTATGAGATTTACGAGTATATTAAAAATAATCCTTAGCCTTTTATAATATGAAGTTTTTATAGATATTTAGGTACTTAATTTTTTATTAACTTTATTTAATTTATGTATTTAAATAATTTTATATAATAGTTATCTTTTTAAAATAATTAAAATGGTGTTACAATTTTAATAATCTTAACGACTGATGATTGATTTGTTCATAATTGTTGTATAACATGTTTTTATTATAAAGTTTAAAAGGATAGTCTTTTTGAGGCACATTTTAATTTATTTTTTAATCATATTAAAATAAAAACTGAAGCTGCCTTTAACAAGTACAATTCTAGCAAAATGTTGTATATTAAAATGCAATGAAATTTATAGGGAAAATACAGATTTATATAATGTTATATTCTTTCGGAGGAATACACTTACAACACGAGGTGCGTGCAGTCATTATGCAAGACAAGCGAAACGCCTGTTTCGCCTCTTCATGAGCTTATCTTAGTACATTTCAAATTGCAGATGAGAGGTAAAGAAACTTAAGTGCTAAATAATAATGATGACAACAGAGCGTTTAAAGGGAATGCGGCACTTAATTAGGCATTTAAAATCAGACTAAAGGTCAAATAAAGTATGTTAAATAAAAAACAAACGACTCTAGGATTTAATGCTTTTTACCATTGTGTGATTTATAACATTCTAGACAAAGCATGGTCGTGGGTACAAATCCCTCCAGGATGAAGAATTTTTTCTATGTGTTCGATCTTATTAATAATAATAACAGAACTAGTGGATTCACAAAACATCTCAATAATACATTTGGTAAAAAAGCGACTTCTACGTCAGCTAAGGCACCTGTAAAGTACCGGCTGCATTGAGAAGGTTTTTCAAAAATCTCTCGCTAGATGTCACTAGCAGCGACGAATGCCGAAAGCCAGTACAAAGATTTGATGAGATGAAAAATTTGTATGTGTCCGATCATTGTATTAATAATCATTCAAAAGCAATGTTGATAAAAACTCTAAATTTCAAATAATGGACTCCTCCGTCCTTTACCTCTCACCTACAGCGTTAATAGTTGCGTTAAATAATTCTAGTACAATTTAATATTATACTTTTGTGTCTTTATCTAGTACATTATTTATAGCATGCATATTAATAACCCTTCGGTACAATTGGTGTAGTTTCCCGATCGGTCCACTTTCACTATTCGTCTACTTTCCCGATCGGTCCACTTGGTTTTCCCGATTCGTCTATTTCCCATTTCGTCTACTTTCCTGTTTGGTATACCTTTCAATTTCGTCTACTTTCCCATTTGGTCTATTTTCCCGATCGGTCTGCTTTCTCGTTAGTCTACTTTAATGAAAAACCTACTACTAAAAAACCGACCTCAAAAGTTCGTGGAATTACATCTATTTACCAAGTTTTATTGAAATAGGTTACCGGAAAGAGTTTGCTACCCTTAGAGATGGAATATTTTCTTCAAATTTAAATGCACCACTACTGATTTAACCTATTTCCAACGAAATAGAATAATCAAAATCAGTTCCCAAATGCCGTTGAGTTATCGCGTTATTGTCTACTTGATTTTGTTTTTTCAAATCTTGGTTAACGTAAAGCGGCCATGATTATAAAAAATGTACTCCATGACAATTTGCAATTATGCAATTACAAACTGCCTTTGAAAATTTGTAAAACGAATTCTTTTTTTGTAAAATTTTATTAACTTGAAAGGTAGACTATTTGGACAAGTGGACCGATCGGGAAGGTAGACGAAATGGGAAATGGACGAATCGGTAAAGTGGACCATTTGGACAAGTGGACCGATCGGGAAAGTTGCCGAATAGTGAAAGTAGACCGTTTGTACCGAAGGGATTAGTAACGTTTTCTTTACTAGTTCAAATGGAATTCATTATTTACTATATATTGGAGGACAACCGAGCAAAGGGGTCAAATCCGGTAGTTATTATATTCTGATGTTCCGGTTCAGTGCTCCCTTTTAACTCCTCCCAGACCCAGCAAACTGCATGTGGTAAAGCGTTAAACGCTCAGTATACATTAAAATGTATTAACAGAAATCCCGTGCAGCTTTTCGGTAACTTAAACATGTTTTATATTAAGAATCTTGACCTTGAAAATAAATCTTATCACATGACTGATCACATGAAGTCTAGTTAATTTTTATATATAAGTGTTAATATTAAAATGTATACAATATTTTTGTTTTCCTGGTCAAGTTGTAAAAGTAAGTGGACTGTTAAATTTCTATCACAATTAAAGAGGTTTTTGTTTTAAAAAAAAACAACTATTTGACTATCATTTCGCGTAACCTTTCATCGTGCCAAAATTTGGTTTGCAATGGGTGATTAAAATGACAATCTGCTTACCATCGTATATGTTTTGGAATGTAGCATTGTTTAAGTATATTTTTAACTCGTAAAAGAGAATTGTTTTTATTAATCATGTTGAATGTCAAAGATGTATTGTTCAAACCACAAGTTAATGGAAAATATGTTTTATTTCCAAGAATATAAAATTTGTAATTGTTATTATAAATATGCAAAACAGTAAAATATATATTTTTTATATACAATTAATTAACTTATATATTTTGATATATGTGCTATGGACTTATCAAGTAATGTAAATAACGCATGTTGAAATTGTACCTTAGTTAATTATTAGTTATTATGCTAGTAAGTTTTCTGTTAATTTGGAAAATTAGATGTAGTTGGTCAAGCTGCATTCCAAAATGAGAGTTATAACATGTTGTTTTCTGGTGACAGATGTGTCAATGAGTCGCGCAGTGAACCGGCTGATTCGAGCGGACGAGGCTCTGTTCCAGACAACCCCGGAAAAGAGGAGGAAAAAAATTTAATCACCCAATGCTGCATCAACTTTGTCAACCCGCTACGGCCCCCCTGATTACATTGAAACATATTTATAATTATAATCAATATTCAACGCTGACGTCTATAAGAGCGATGCCACACGGGCGCTGCCGCAGTGCCATACGAACAACGCGGTGTCGCAACGTAACTCCGCTTAGACGTTTATTATACTACTCAATTTCTAGGGTCCTGCGTGAAGGGTAATCGTGGTTTTTGTTAGGCCCTAACTCTGAACGCCAAGGTCGGGCACTCCCGCCGGGCACTTGTACGTGTTACTATCATAGCGCCATCGAAATTTCAAGTAAAACTTTAAAGCCCTCGGCCCGTACATCCCTATTATTTGTTTTTTTTTTTTAAATAAAAGAACTAGCTCTTGACCACTACCTAGCTCTGGAGCAAAGATAGGATCTACGATGGAACGAGCTTGCCCAGAAGATGCCTATTCGAGTTGTATGAATTCGGAAATATAGACGTATTATTTAGTCTTTATGATCATTTTCCATAAATATGTATATTATATGTTTTTGTACGTCTGCCAGGCAAAACAAAACTTCTTTTCTGTATTTCACAGCATGGAGGTTTTAATATTCTATATCGACAGGCAGTTAATATCAATCAATTTAAATACAACTGATGCCGGAAACATCCATTTTGTTTTGGTTTATTGGTTAATGGCTACAATAGCTTTATATCAGTAGCACATTTGTTCTGATTGTGTGGATCGCGGATAGACATCTATTATCCGCAATTAAATCGCAAATAACAGTGTTGCCGTGGTGTTGCCAGAGTCGTTGAGTCGAAAAGTACATATCGTTACAAACATGCAGACACTGACAAATATGACCATCTACACGTGGAGCCAAATACGGCTCAATTTATATACGATATTGTACATAGCTTAATGGACTAGGATTTTAGGATTAATTGTACTAACTAGATACGACATCGTAAAGCTTATTAAGCCTTGTACGGATAACAGCGCATCAGACTACACATTTTTGTTCGAAAATCGCCTCCAGTGCAACAGAACAAGATACGTTAATGTGTAGCTTGACGTGCTGTTGACTGTACAATATCGTTACAAAAATTAGCTTCTATTCCGTTCCGCCGCAATATAAATTGATCCTAAGGAGTTAACATAATGAATATGACTATAGTGTGAACGGTTTACTTGCGTATTTGCCTATTCGGCACTTTTGATGTGCGTCGAGCATCGAGTATGTAACCAGAAATAGAGACGCAATAAGGACCAAACATTCCTGGTAACTCATCCGTGACACATCACTTGTAAATATCAATTAGAAGAAAGCTTAATTAGTATAGCACCAACAACTGACCTGTGTGTACGCCTCCGTATATTCCAAAAATATTCTGTATTATTGTAATAAAGATAATATCTCTAACAATGGTGTGCTGTTCCATTCGGTGGTGAGGGGAAAAACAGCAAAACATCCAATTACAAAACAAACGGAATCAAATTTCATCGGTAATTAAATGTTAAATATGTCATTTTGCAATTTTCGTCCATTATAGCAAAGCTCAAGTTAACTGGTCGATTTAAAGTGAAAGAATTGACGAATTTCGAATTCGGCCAATCGTAGCGCAGTTGTCACAGTAATGATATGGTAGAATAGTTTTCAAGCAAATGAAATGACATTTCGTCTCTATTTTTGGTTATTTACTCGATGGCGTCGAGAAACCGACCAGCAGCGCCCGGTAACGCGAGTTTGGTGTTTGCTGTATTTGTCGAATAGGCAAACAAGGCAAATACTTTGTCACACATGCTATCTACAGATGGTGATTGTTTGCCAAATATATCAAAGACAAAAATACATATAGCCATGTGAAGTACCATTAGGCGCCGCGCAAACGTATTGCTTGTGTTGGATGCAAGCAACCGGCAACTGGAAGCGAATATTCTATTTTTATACAATTGCAACCTAGAATAGAATAGAATAGAATAGTTGCTTGTATTCAACACAAGACAGACGTTTGCACGGCACCTGCTCAATTTACATTACTGCGTAACGGAATGGAAGCCAATTTTTGTTTTGTAAATAAAATGAACTTTGTCTATTGTGTATTATATTTTGTATTCCGAAGAAATCTCGCGCAGTCTCTGAAATTCCCGCAGCTACCATATCTTATCTAGTTTCTACATTACACAATTGACATAAAGCCCGTTATGCTATGTACAATTTCGTTACAAAAACCATTTCGTTCCGGGGCGGTGTAAATTGAGCCCAAATTTGTACGACAATCGGCCGCTTCGAAACCACAAAATTAATATAGGGTTAAACAAACTTCAACCTCAAGTGAAGTTCGACCGTAATTACACGCGCCGTTACATCCCAGGATATTTTCGTACCTACCTATCCCTATACATATATTTTCACATCATCACGAATAAGTTACGTACTTACAAGTTTGACGGAACAAAGTTATTTACATTGTTCGATTCAAAATTTTGTGTTCTACGTTGTGATGTTTCGCGCTGTGCAGATGGAGCAATTTTGATACTCCAGTTTCGACAACTGGCAACCCGCAACTACGACGTTTACCATATAATTTCATGTAACTGCGCAAACGTACTCGCAAGACTATGTTACTATTACTTACATCATAAACAACAACTTTTGTTCCAAATCTTTCAATAATTTATCAGATTTTACTTTCGTATAAAAATAACAGTTATTTGTTATGCAAAGCTGCAAAGTTGTTTGACGTGAGCGCTTGGTATTGAAACCTGAGCAAGCGAAGGACTCTGATGGTCGTATTCCAGAACTCTACTCAATGCTCACGTCAGGACTTGAGTATGATTTAAAGCACTAGAAATTATACTCAAGTCCTGGCGTTTAGGGTCGTATTTCTAGTGCTTGATTGATGAGGATTGCAATTGAAACACAAGCACTGGAAATACGACCCTAATGGCAGGGACTTGAGTATGATTTCGAGTGCTTTAAACCATACTCAAATCCTGACTTGAGCATTGAGTAGAGTTCTAGAATACGACCCTCTAGAACTCTACTCAATACCCAAGTCAGGACATGAGTATTGCAGTGAGCACTGAAAATCATACTCAAGTCCTTGCCATTGGGGTCGTATTTCCAGTGCTTCAAATCATACTCAAGTCTGCTCAAATCCTGACTTGAGCATTGAGTAGAGTTCTGGAATACGACCCTAAGATTGATAATCTATTGAGCGTAGCCAGGGTTTCAAGTCACGAGACGCAAAACAATTTTGTTGTCGAGCGAAATACACAACTTTTCAACTCACTATAGCGAGGAAAATGGTAGATGAAAGAAAAACAGTTGAATTATAACAAATCAGTTTTGATAAACAAAATTAGTTATTGTTGTCACTTTAATGTCAACAATAATAAGAATAAAATATACCAACGGAATTGTATTACATAAATAATGTACGATAAATCGCGTAGTTGAACGTGTCATTCTGTTTTTTTCATCGAAAGAAAAAAGTTAGGTGCACCACAGTCCATCGTCAATACCCTCAATCTGAGGCAGGCAGGTATAAATGCCGGAGATCGCTATAGACTAGACTTTATTGCATGTGTCATAAATAGCGGCCGTTGCTATTGGTTTTATTAATAGTAATTATTGGTTCAAAAGTAACAACATGGTAATTCATTAGCCTGGTTGTTTTTTAATAAAAACAAATAGTTGAAATTCTTAACTCAACGTTCCTAGTGCCACGCAAAGAAAGGAGGACTCACATTAGACCGTGCTGGACGCGAGCCGTGTCCGAGGCATTCGAATTTCGTACGTGCCGCACGATCTTAAATTAGACGGAGTCAGTCAGTTAGAATATGAACGTAGTGTTATATCATAATATAAAGCACTGGGTAATTTCTTACGCACTCAATCAATCGATTGAGTGCGTAAAAAAAGAAAAGTCAATTTTTAAAAAAAAAACGTAGTCACTGTTTAAAATCGCACACTAGTGCGGGGCGCGCACGACGCACTGGAGTGTTCACATTACAACGAGCTGAGGGTCGGTGTCACGGACGCGACACGTTTGTAATGTGAATCACTTCATATAAAATGTACGCAGCTCATCCAGTCCGAACCTCGTACGTGGTTCGGCTCGCGTCTGGCACGGTCTAATGTGAATAGTCCTTAAGGCTCGATTTACATTGCGGACCGGAGTGGAGCGCGGTCGCTGAAATCACTAGCAAAGGCGGGAATGCTCGAACATTTGCGAGCTTTCTCGCGACTGCGCCACTTCCCACGGAATTCGCGCGAATGCGCGAGCATTATGCTTCCGCGGAAGACACTCGACGTGATTTTTGGCTCGTATCTAGTTTGTACGTTACACACTTGACCATAAAGTTAATTACACTATATACAATATTGTTACAAATACTCGCTTCTATTCCGTTCCGCCGCGATATAAATTGAGCCTAAGGCAGTTATTACGAATTATCATTTTAGTGTTTGAACTCAAATATTTTTAAGAAATAATGACATTATTTGTAAGAGGAATTAGATTTCGGGTTCACCTTAATAGAAGTAAAGTTTACATTCCCCGTTTCGTTCTGTGTGCATTTAGATATAAGGTTTGAAGTACATTCTATGAGATTTGTGCGTGCGTACTAATGAATACCCCGGGGAAATTTGCCTTGCCTCGCTTAGCTTTACGTCTGTACGCACCACAGTGATTTTTCAAAATGTGTGCCCGATATTCTTATATAACCAATGAGCGATTTTCAATTATGTTTTATATTTAATCAATCTAATAAATGTCGATGTCTTGAAACTAACCATCAGCCGGTCAATGGGGTAAGAGGAAGTACAGCCCGTGTCATCTTGATATTCTGTCTTTCCAATGCAGTGTTGCTGTTTTTACTAGTTTTATATCTTCTTGTCCTATCACAAGTCTGATAATCTTAAATTTATATCCATGACATTCAAACACAATATTGTTAATGAATAAATGATGATTGATTGATTAGTAAATGCAATGGTTTAAATGGCAATATTTTTAAAGTTTGAAAGGTTTATATATAAATTTTTGACAAGAATAATTAGTAACATAGATGTGGTAAAGTTAGTAATTCCTTCCAGTTGACTTCACCGTGATCTTAACTGCCATTATTATAACTACTTAGTTAAAAAATCAAATGGTAAGTAATTGTAACAACTAACTATTTAATGATACCAATATTTAAGTTCATTGAATGTCACGATGTTTGAACACGGCAAAAAAGTTGTTATAAACCAAAAAGACGGATCTGCAACAAGTACATAGAAAAATTCATAAAGTCCGCTAGTTCGTTCCGTGGCTTAGTTGGAATAGCGTCGGCACGGTTTGCTGGAAGACGTTGGTTCCAATCCAGCCGGACCGAAGGGATTTTTTTTTAGTGTTCATGTTTGTAATAATAATGATGTAATGATAAATAGTTATCGTACTATTTTTTAGTCTTTAAGCTTCACTATTTCAATTTTATCGAATCATGCGATCATCATATGCATATATACATTTTCGGATTAGTATTCTCTGCCTAATTTCCGTAGCATATTTTATTATTTAACTAAGTATTCAAATAATAGGAAATAAAACTATTTTTCCGGTTTTTATTCGCGTTTATTTGTTTTTTCAAACAAACCGACGTTTCGGGCACTTTAGAAGTTCCATGGCTGATTGAGGTGGTAAAGTCATCAACCAGTTATGTTTAATATTAATGCAAACCACTCTATTTTTTCCACTGTAGTTACGAAAGTTATTAATTAATAGTTATTTTGATATAAGTGCGGAAAGGTAGTCATTACTCACGAGTCTCGAGGCTTCGAGACTCGAGACAAGTGAAAATGACAAATCCGCACGTGTATCAAACGACGTTTTTTGATACATTTGGGAAAAAACTACATTGTAAGTAAAATAAAACAGTATTTAAAAAAAAACTAATTTTATTTCTTTGTCTGATAAAAATTCAGAGTACAATGGCAACTGTTGCCAGTATTCAGCCACATTAAAATTACTATTTTAATGGCGCGGCGCGCAGTGGTCTCGCGTAATACTCACCTCCGGTCATTGTTAATACTCAATTAACCATCTTTATGGAAAATGTTTTGGTATTTTTAAATGTAACCCGTTGTTTTATAAAACACCTATGCAATTTAAACAAATATGATGTTTGTAAGTAACTATAAGTTTTAATGACGAATGACTGACGTCACAAAGCACATAAATATTAAATAAATATACAACCTCTTTAGTCTTAAACATAGAAATGTTTAAGACTTGAAACAACGGTAAATTTAAAAAAAAATGGAAAGTAAAAAGCACTAGTGCGAAAAATCCAACTTTCGACACGATTTGTAGTACGAAAAATACCACGTTTTGAGCAACTGTATTAAAAATACCTTATTTTATCTTTTCAAAGAACATTCCAATTTACGCTACACTGGCCATG